CGCATACACATTTCCATCTACACACAAACATGTATATAGATATATACATAATGAGTGTATACATGTATACGTATATACATATGTTCATATACACATATATACATCTATTCACTTGCTGCAGCCTGCGGAATGCAAGGCATATGTCTGGAACATGCTGCCAAAATGGCCTTGCCATTTTGGCTCAAAATCTGGGACCGTGGGTCTGTTGTCACTGCGACTGCCACGACTCTCCACTATGCATTCAAAAAGGAGCGTGAGTGTTCGGTCGCTGTTGTTTGTGCTTTTGAAGGGTCATTTTCATGCAGTTATCTGACGTATAAACATATAAGCATAGCGATACATATATACATATATATATATATACATTATACACATATATACATCTGTGCTTATATCCATTTATGCAGTTTATACATATACACACATAAAATGCATACATATACAAACACACAAATGTGTATATATATATATGCATATGCACATGCACACATGCATATTTATACACACACACATAAATACATATATATATATATACAAATACACATACACACACATGTGTATATATATATATATGTACATATATATATATATGCATATATATACATTTATACATCCAGATACCTTTGAACATATATACGTATATACATACATACGTTACAAACTTGCACACCTGTGCACATATACGTAATTGCATATATATATATTCATATGTATGTGTGTATATACACATGCATGCATGCATGTGTATGCATGTGTATGCATGTGTATGCATGTGTATGCATGTGTATGCATGTGTATGCATGTGTATGCATGTGTATGCATGTGTATGCATGTGTATGCATGTGTATGCATGCATGCATGCATGCATGCATGCATGCATGGATGGATGGATGGATGGATGGATGTATGTATGTATGTATGTATATACGCAGATACATACATAAAACCATATACAGATATACTCATGTACATAAAACACATGTGTACGGATGTACATATATACACATACTTGTATATATATATACATCTATACAAACATGCATCCATACATTTTTACATATACACACATGCAGACATGCTTTGACATGTACAGGCTATGTCCCAGGTCCCAGCCCTATCCATGGAGGTTCCTCCGCTGCTACATATGGAGTTCAACACAATCTTTGCTGACCTTATTTTGATCTTCACATTACCCTGGAAGCTTCCCTGCCCTGTCTGAAGTTATTTTTTGTGCAGGCGATTCTTTACAGATTCTGACAGTCTTCAAGCCGACCCGCCAAGAAAAGTTCGATGCCATTTATGGGTGAGGTTTGGGCCTTGCTTCCCAAGAAAACCTTTAATTCGCAAGAGATGCCCAGATACCTAATATCAAGATATCGTTATCATCTTCAGCATAGGCCTAGCAATTTATGTGCAATTCTTCCGATGAATCCTAGGTCACCTTCAATGTAACCTCATTAGTTCAGAGCATTCTCCATACAACCTCTTCGTTTCACATGATCAGTGTTGATTTTTTTTCGTCGTGCGATCTTTCAATTGAAGTTGCTCTATCATGGCCAGGCCTCACACCAGCCCGTGTTGGGTTTGGGTTGAGAAGGGTCTTGGGGTGGCAATTTTCAGTGTGGTTTCAAGCCTTCACACAGGCGGAAAAGGAAAAAAAACAAATGGCAGTTTCATGTTTCCGATTTGGGGGAAACCTCACGCAAGCCAGTGTTGGGTTTGAGGTTGAGCATAGTCTTGAGGTGCTGATTTTTCAGGGTGGTTGGTCCCCTTCAGAACCCAGTGTTCCCAGCCCCTAACCCCTCCCCCAGCCTCCAACCAAAAATCCGGGACCAGCCCCAACCCCCCCCCAAAAAAATGAACAAAACAACGTGGATCCCAACTAATTCATGCTGGTCTCAGGTGGGTTGGAGGTACAGGCTGCAGCCGAGAGGGAGGGCGAACCCAATAAAACGAAGATGTCCGTTTCATCATGGTGCCCGTTTTTCTTTCGTATAGACTCTGTCCCTCTCCCTAACTCCCTAGCCCTCACCCCCCTCCACTTCCCGCTCCATTCCAAGCCATCGCATGCCATAGCTTCGATCTCATCTGGGCGAGGGGGGTGGACACGGGTAACATGGGTAATAGGCCAAGCCGCTACATCGCCTGAGGGCTTGGGAGGCCTGAATCTTGAAAAACATGCGCGGCATGTTGACCAGCAAATTTGTTTTTTTGGGGCCAACCTGCAAACCTTTCGATTGACCAAAGCAGGTCCTTGACTTACAGGTCCCGCTTACACAATTTTTTTTGTGACGTAGTTGCATCCCTGACCAGGACCATTGGCATATTTCACTTTATCTTTACCCCTGTATTCTGTACCGGCTTGGCACAGTACGTATCTTCAGAGGAGAGGCATTGGGAACCATTGTGGGGCTTCGTTTTCAAGATCTACGCCCTGTTGTTGTTGGCATCCAAGCATCATATGACTCTCGCATCTTCAATTAGGGGGTCTTAAAATTTTCTTTTCGCACAGTGTAGCTTCACAAACCTTGGCAACACCGCCCTTCACCCAGGTAGTCTGTTGTTCGGGTCATAAGGATAGGACTCGGTTCGCTGATCGACACCGTGACCGTAGGGGACATCCAGAGCAGTATTGGAGTTTCAGAAGCGGTTATACAGCGCCCAGATCGACGCAATTAGTTTCGTGCTTCCAACAGGCAATTCAATCGACTTGATTATGCAGCTTGTGCTTCCAGATCAACTGACAGCCAATTTGATGTTGTACATACTTGTGCTGCTGGCTCTGCTTTTCCTACGGCATGCGGGTGCTGCTTGTGCCTGTCTATTGTGCTGGACGTGGCCATCAGTGTATGCTGTTCTGGGAAGGGCTTTTGAGCTTTTGATTTTGTAGTGCCCTGACCCGGGTGCAGGCGATAGAGAGGGTTGGAAAAAACAGGCAATTCAGGCGCCACCCTGGCAAGAGCGTGCAAGAGCACTTGGAAACCGCCCCCACACGCAGCCGGGAGTACTTGAGATCTCTATTCGCATCATGAAGAAGTTGTTTTAAACAAGCCTAAACCCCAAATCCTTGGCGCTAAGCCCGTGCGCGTAACAGCCCACATCCCTAAAGCTGAATTTTTGCACAGCCATTGGTTCTGTCTGCGCCCAAAAGCTTAGACACTCGTGCACCCTCAAACCCCATCACTCAAAAGCTCTGACCCCTCAACTCCAAACCTGAAGCCTCTAAGTTACGAAGCGTAATAGCCCACGTCCATGAAGCGTGAACTTCACACCCCTCATCCCCAAACTGCACGCAGCTTAACCTTAAAGCTTAGATGCATCTAGGTTTGAGGCCCTGCAAACACTTTCACGACACCCTGTAGATGCCTAAGCCCAGAACCTTAACACCGAATCCCTCACCAGTCCCGTCCGCATCCTTGAACCTTGTATTGTACTTCACACCCTGAATCTGTCAATCCTGAAGCCTCCATCCTGCGACGTGAAGCCTCTACTCGAACCTAAGCTCGTAGAACCCCAGCCCTAACTCCTACGACGATGCGTCAAGAACGTTTTAGCCTAAAGCCCATGCCGCACCGTCGAGCTTTGAACGCCTAAAACGTTCGCTAATTTGATTTCAGTGCTTAAGCTCTTTCCTTTCCACCTTTCGAAAGCTTCGCAGCCTTCAGAGGTACTACGGCTTACTAAGCGCAAGTGAGGGGCTTTCTCCAGACAATGATCGAATCTTGCACAGCTGTAGCTACTAACAAAAGCCTGGCATCGTCCTCTTGCGATTGTATTGCCAGGCTGGGCTTTCATCACAATGTAAATTTCCTAAATGCTTAGTAGAGTTTGTGCCGTTACAAAAATGTAGCCACTGCCTGGCGCCATGCAGACATGCGAGCAAGGTTGACAGTCTTTAGCACAGTCCAAATCTCCACACGGATTTCGTGACATACGAGCACCGTGGCATGCTTTCACAGTATTGGCGGAGATGACCAAGAAACAAGATCCAAGAAGGGAACTGAATCGTGTCAAGAATGCAGGGTGGTTCCAGTCTGCATCCAGCCTAAAGCTAAGATTTCACCGATCATTATCTCGTAGACGAACGCAAATTGCTGCAATATCCTGAAACTGTGGCAGTGAGCAACAAAAGTGTCTCACAAGGGGAGGTCATTTGTACTTTCGCAGTGCTGTTCACTCCACATCGCTAACCCGTCCACTTGTTCATTATTCAGGAAAGAGTCTTGAGTCGACACATGGACGAGTGAATGGTAGGAGCGTGGTTCCTTCGGAGTCGTTGCAGAAAACGGAACTTACGTTACACGTTACATGTCCGTATCATTTCTTCATCGGAACTGCGTGTTGAACATTATGAAAAATCTGCTCTGTATGTCTGTCATGTTGATGCTTTCTTTTGAGCCGCGCGCATCAGTTGAGTTTCCCGTTTGCAGGTGCGTGAACAAAGCACGGTGCTGCTGAGGCAATGTTGCAGTAAGGCTGGTCCCAGGATTTGCGTACATGTGCAAATCACATCCAGCAACACACAGCTTCCAACACCACACTGCAGGTTAAAGAGAAGGATTCCACGTGGCAAAAGCTTGGCACGACTCAGGAAAGATTGTGCAGCCTCAGTTGCACTCCAGGAAAATGCTGTTCTACCGCTTTGAAGGCCGCATGTCTGAGCAGGCAGATGTCAAAGAGCAGCTCCTGCAGCTGCTGGAGGCCAAAGAGCACCTCCTGAAATATCTGAAAACGGCCTTTGGATGCATTGGGCGAGGTAGAACCATCCGCGCAGGTGCGGAAGAAGGCGGTCCCTGTTACCTTGTGTTGACTACTTGTTGTTAGCCCTTGGCTTCCACAACCCAGGTGTCAGACTGCATCCAAAGTCTGGGCAACCAGATCATCAACCTGGAAGAAGACCAAAGACCACAGAACATTCAGGATCCTGCTGTCATCCTCAGCATGACAGCGACGTGTAAAACTGTGTAAGCTGGAAACCGTCCCAGGAGTGGCCTACGCTCATGCCCAGCCTTTTCCGCATAATTTGCGACAAGAGCAAGGACCACGTTGGCCACTGTGTTGAAACCATTTATGGACCTAACACATTATGCAATCAAGCTGTGTCTAGTTCCTGCATTTCCTGCCATGCATGCAGCAGCTCTCGCAGGATAGCAACCTCCGCGCAGACTGCTTGTGGATAGTAAAGGCGCGGATGTGTTTTGAACGGATAAGGAGGCACAAGGGAACTCCCAGCAGGAGCTGGCCTGCTCAGTCTGGCAAATGCTCGTTGCCAACGCAGTGCAGAGTGCTCAGGCGCGGTTATCCGTAAGTTCCTGGACACTGCTGCAGTCAACTGTGCGTTTTGCTCTCGAGAGGTGTTGCAGACTTGCTTGGAGGATCCTGCTGATCCGGTTCAATCCTCGAGCCTGATATAGAACTGCGAGCCATGAATAGCATTGCAGCACGAACAGCTGCCTTACAAGCGACGGTGATGCTGCTGTCTTGGGTGGTCACATCATGTCACATTGAGATCTGCGAAGATGTCCTGTGGACGAGGTTCGTGCAGAGGCAGCTGCACTCGTCACTGCACTCGTGGACAACATCGAGAGAAGAGAGGTGTGGACTAGCTTTGCGGGTGTCAAACAATGAGCTACGCCATGGGAATTCGCAGAAAACATGTGGCGCAGGACCGCAAGCCATTCCAGCCTCTCATACCCGAGGCTGCAGCTTGAGCACAACTGACGCGGCCTGACTCCGGTTCAAGTCTCGTTCAGGTAAGCCGGGTTACAGCACAGTTGGCATCAAGTAGCGATTCGAAGCAGGGCACTCAGCAGTACACAAAGTGCCAGACATACAGTGAGCCTGCAACGCCAAGGAGTGATTTGTATCCCACTGGTCAAGAGCTACATTAGCGCATAGCTGGATAATGCATAGCTGGATAATGCATAGCTGGAAATTGAACTAAGATGCAGAAATAGAGGCCGTCTTGTGACCAAGCAAAGGACCTTGCAATCGAAGATGAGCGAATGAAGTACCGGCCAGTCACGCAAGACGCGCTAAGGCACTTGAACACGGTTCTGCTATCCTTCCAAGCTACAGAAGCTGCAGACTTTTTCAAACAGCATGCGTGGAACCGAGTCGCGTGAGTACAGCAGGTTCCGACAAGTCCTGTCGCTGCCAATATCTCGAAAACCTGCAGAGCAGCTAAGATCGCTTCGCATTTGATGCCTGTGCTCTGTGGAATTGCCAAGCTCGATCCTGACCTTGGCTGCAATTTTCACTTTAACGACTTACACGAATGAATTCTATTTCAGGTCACATCAAGATGAATCCTCACGAAAGTACGCCTTCGAGGTCCAGCACCTGCTGTGACATTATCATCTTGACTACGATGTCTATCAAGACTGCAGAGTCAATTGGGATCTGACAGGTCATACTTTCTTTTATGGAGAGCAAGCCGAAGACAATGGTCAAAGTCCCACACTTTGTCGATCAGGCATGCTGCATCAGCTGCCATGGCTAAGCTGTTTCCAGCAATAGTTTGCCTGAAAGCCATTTGGACCAAAGCTCCAGCTGCATGGCTTCCCCTAGCCTCGTTTTAGCATCCAGAGGACGCCCCCCTTGATCTGTTTGGGACGGCCAAGATCTTGAAGTATGACTCGCAAGAATGATTCGCCACCCTCTGCCATGACTAAGAGCCTTTGGTACACAGCTTAATTGACACTTTCCTTGCGTCACTTCATCGTGTGCAGGGGCATGCGCATACTCGCGCACCAAGGTCTTGTGCGCTTTTGCCGGGCCTACAGAACATGTTGAAAAGGGGTTCGTTGACCGTGGAGTTTGTTGGTGGGGACAAGCACACGTTTGGCGACGGCAGCGGTGTGAGTGTCAAGGTCTATGTCCGTCCAGGGCTCAGCTGGTGTCCAGTTTCGCAAGCCGCTTGGTGACCCTCATCACTGCAAAGACCCTTTGCCTGAAAGATGCGTAAGCTCTCCAAGGAAATGGTCGCTTTGTTCAAAGAATGGCATTGGATCCAGGCCTTGGCTTGGCCGACAGCTACATAGAGGCGAGGTGAATTGCACTCTCTTGGTTGACCGAGCTCCCCCTGGGTATAGGATAATCCAAGACTCCAAGATGTTCATGAGCCAGGGAGACATAGACGTGAAGCCGGACATAACCGACCTCTTTCGGCTGGTGCTCAACAACAAGGTAGGACAGAAAATGCACAAGTTCTCAGAGCATTGTGGTTGCTTCAGTGGCAGGACAAGGGAGAGGAGTCTTCCCCAATGGCCTGGTCGCCTGTAAGGCTTGTTTCGTCCCTGGCAAAGCGATACTATGCCCATCTGCACGCACGCAGGGCTAACAGTCAGGACGGGTCCAAGCGTAACATCGCAGACCACTATGACTTGTCGAACAACATGTTCAAGATGTTCTTGAGCAAGGACATGACATATTCGGCGGGGATTTTCGACAAGGAAGTTGAAACCATGAGAGCAAGGAAAAGCGGCGACTTCTTGGAATTGGCACAAATGAAAAAGCTGGACCGAATGTTGGACTTGATAAATCTTCAGGATGGCGACAAAGTGCTGGAGATAGGTTGTGGATGGGGGAGTATGGCTATCCGAGGTGCACAGCGATGTACCAACTTGACATGGACAGCGATCACACTGTCGCAGGAGCAGCTAAAGTTGGCAGAGGAGCGCATAGCGGCGGCAGGCTTCAGCAGCCGCATTAAAGTGGTTTTCTGCGACTATCGTGATGCAGCATCCAAGTTTGGAGCGGGGGCTTTCTCGAAAGTTGTCAGCTGTGAGATGATTGAGGCTGTTGGCCATGAGTACCTTCCAGCCTACTTTGCAGCAATAGATGAGTGTTTGAAGCCGGGAGGGAAAGCCTCAATTCAGGCCATTTGTGTGCCTGACGCCCGATATGAGTCATACCGACAAGGATCTGATTTCATTCGGGAACGAATTTTCCCTGGCTCTAATCTGGTTAGTCTGGAAGAGATCAAACGGGCCTGTGAGAAGGGAAAGACATCTTTGTTCGAAGCAGCGAAGCCTTTCTCGGTTGGCCTGGATTATGCCAAGACCTTGCATGAATGGAGGGTACGATTTGCAGCTCATGAGAAACAAATTCGTGCAGAGGTTAGCACCTTTGGCACCGGCTTTGATGAACAATTTATTCGACAATGGCACTACTATTTTGCGTACTGCGAAGTTGGGTTTGAGGTGGGCCACATAGACGATTGGCAAATTTGCTTGCAGAAACGACTCGAGAGCGACACCGGCAGAACATCCAAGAAGAGGAAGGAGCGGTCCTTCGACGGTGATGCGCTCCATGCATCCAATGCGGGCCTTCTGAGCGGCTGGCAGGCATTAAAACGGCCAAAAACGACCGCCATTCAGATGGCTGTGGGAAGTGCCCAGCGATTACTTGATCGTGGTTTGATGCCAGACTGGCTGACCCGGGCTCCTTGGGCAAATAGTCTAACCTTCCTGCACGAGTGGTGAGTATGACACTGCCAAGGTTGGCATCCGTTTCAAGCTAGCCCAGAAGATCAATGAAGAGACGCATGGCTGTGTGCGTCTGGACCAAGAAGCTAAGCAGGAGTTTATCGACTCTCTGAAGACCATGCCGATTGCAATTTGCAGCTTGGCCACATGTCTACTTAGATTGACGGTTGCCTGTCAGCAGGGGGTTTGCTACCAAACACAAACCTTGCGATTTGAGTCGTTTTGAAAAAGGTACGGCAGAGGCCAATGAGCAGCACTATGAAGTTCCGCCTGAGTTGTATCACATTTGGCTTGGGCCGCGAACCTGGGCCAAAGAGAACAACTTGAGACGTTGCTTGTCTTGTTGTCAAGAGCTAGTTACAGCTAGTTTGAAAATGAGGCAAGAAATACTCTGGCTGCATCTTTCCAGAAGACGCGGCACCTCACCTGGCGAGCCGTGCGGGAGAGCTGCTTCCAGCAGCTGAAGAACGATCTTTGGAGGACTATGTGGAGAAGGCTGGCTTGGAGGCTTCTGTGACGCGCCATTGCACCAGTTTTCTATCCTTTTCCATGGTCTTACTTTCTGTCACGGCAAAGTCTAAGTTCTCATCACTGTCGAATCCTAACTGGCGAGCGGGTTCGCAGTTGCCAGAGCCTCACCTGGCCATCACCGAAATTGAGATCCAGAGCACAAGGTACTGACCAGATTCTTTTCAAAGCCAAAGATCTCTGCAGGTTTGTTGGGGTCTGCTGATCTTTGTAGGCCTGTGGTAAGGATGGAATGGCAATCCTGGACCTTGGATGTGGCTGGGGCTCAGCCAGTCTCTTCATGGCGGAGAAGTTCCCAAGAGCATTGGTTGTAGGCGTCTCCAACTCGCACGGCCAACGCGGCTGGATATTGGATCAAGCTAAGCAACGAGGTCTGTCGATCCTTGGCAGATCTTGGTAGCAGAGCCTCTGCCATTTTTTGCATAATGCTAGCAGATTTTAATCGCATTGGTTTTTGACTCAGGAACGTCAGAATTGTGACTTGTGACGTGTCGCAAGTACCATTGGTGGATGCTGCCATCCCCGAACTGAAGAAGGAGCGACCTCAGGCAGAAGGCTTTGATCGAGTTGTGTCCGTCGAGATGATGGAGAATCCCGCCTAGTTGCAGGAGCATTCTTTGCTTCCAGTAACTCTGCATTGGGGCCCGCGTTTTCTCCTAGGTCTAGCAGTCTTGCTTGGTCAGAAAAGGTCTTGTTTAAGGGTTGGGCACTTTACCTGTGTTGTCCCAAACCTGTGCTTTGCCAGAAGCTCGCTGATCAGCCGAGGCACATGAAAAATTACGACGTGCTGCTGGAGCGTGTATCTGCAACGCTTCGTCCTGGTGGCAAGCTCTTCGTCCACATCTTTGTGTGCCTGGGCTTCTGGGTTCTGGTCACCTGAAGTCTTCTGCGAGAGATGACTGAGATGTGTGGTGATGCAGGCACACTCGCTTTGCCTACCATTTCATTGCCAGATCTGAAGCTGATTGGATGGCTCGATATTTCTTTGCTGGCGGTACTATGCCTTCGGCTGACCTGCTCTTCTATTTCCAGCGGCACTTGCAGCTGGAGATTACTTTTGTGATTTTTCGCATGGACTTAGGTTGCACATGAATTGTTGAGTTTGCGCAGAAAGCCTGGCAGGAGAAGCACTGGCATGTCAACGGGCGACATTATCAGCTCACAGCCGAGGGATGGCTTCAAAATCTTGACGAAAATCATGAGCAGGCCAGTAGTGTGTTTCAGAAGCAGTGCGGTGAGTGCGGTGAGTGCGGTGGGCTACGACTCGTACACATCAGGTCATGGAATTGCTGAAGCAGACCTACCCACCAGGCCATGGCTTTGTCCGCCCTTTTGCGTCTTTAAGCCCTCTGCCACTCGGTCAGGTACTGAAGTCATGTGGTTGAATCGATGGAGGTGCAAAGTTGGGAAGCTGCCTGTTTCCGTGAAAGTTACCATCGTATGTCTCCCTTCTGCAATTGTCAGGGCATTTTTCATGGCGTGCGCCGAGCTCTGGGGCTACAAGGATGGCAACGAATGGATTGTTGCACACTACCTGTTCAAGAAGCCGGATGCTGTCAAGGTCACGGTCTTGTGAATTACGTGCGCCCTTGCAGAAGTTTCTCCTATTAGATGGTTGCCTTGAAGAGCTTTCAGCCCCACCTGTGCTCTATTGCAAAAGGGCTGGCAAAATGTGTTTTGTTGTAGACTTTCGTCCGGGAATGCAGCCAACCAACTTCTTGGTCTCTGTATGCGCTCTTGCAGAAGTAGATCATGCAAAAGGGCTCGACTGTCGCTTGCGCGCGTCCGCCTCAACCGCCAGCTCGCGGCAAGCAGGACGATGCGCAGGAGGTTTGCAGGAAGGCTGCCAACAGCTGTCATTTTTGACACACCAGGTTTGGTGGTGTGGAGATTCCGGTGGGCTAGGACTAGGGTTTTTGTTTTGGCTTTGGCGATGGCATATCGGGTTCCAGTCCTTTGGGAAATGGAATCGAGAATGCAAGGATGAGGCTTTTTGCCGTTCCTGCCATCCTGACAGCCCGGGGTTCATAAGTGCTGTCATTTGTGACCACTTCGCTGGGGTTTGAGCAGCAGGATGGCGCGGGTTTGAGTGGAAAACTTCTCCGTCAACACGCTCGCGTTCGTTCAGCTCAGGGACACCTCGGAACGACCCCTCATCAAACGACCACTCAGCAAATGATGCATACGCTGTCATACACCCCAGATTTCAATTTGAGACCAACAACCAGAAGCATTGGACTGATATAGTAAGTAAAGCTGTGCACCGCGAACTCCCTTTCCAAACAAATCCGACCCCGCGAGAACCCCTTGAAACGGTTGTGACACGGCAGTTCTCACAGTATTTCAGCGAATACCTGACAGAATACTTCATCGCTGGAATTTGCTTAAGTCGCCATTCGGGCATTGTGTCCTCTTTTTCCCTGTTGAGCAACGCTCAGCTTCAGACCAAGCAGCGTGTTGAAGAAGGCACACGTGGAGGCACTTTTTCAACCACTGTGGGGTCCACCTGGTCCACCGTTTGGACGTTTCGTCGTGATTTCCTGAGCTCATGAGCTGAGTTTCTGTGTGCTTTGGTCCTTGCAGTTCGTCTGATCACAGCATGGAGGCCCATGCAGGCCCAAACCATTCTGACATCCATGCCCATCTGCATTTGGTGACCAGAGCATCCAACGGGCCCACCTGTTTTGATGCGCATGTGCATGCAGTCCTCTACCTCGCATGAGCTTCCAGGAGGGTGCACAAAACGCTGCGCTGGCTTCTGGTTTTGCACACGCCCACTGACACATCCACAAATCAGTCGGACAAGCACCCGCCACAAAATCAGGTTGAACTTCGCACACGAAAATCCTCCCCCAACAAATTCAGAAAACACTGCGCTGGCTGAGTCTTTTGGCGCATCCTGAACACATATTCCAGGCAAAAGCCCAGGCGATCACGACATGTTGCAGCCACAAATGTGATCCTCAGAAAGGTGAACAGCTTTCGGGATTCATGTGCAGGGCTGGAGTGGGCTAGAGGCGTGAAGCTCCAAGGGTTCATGGGCCTGCTGACTTCTCACGTCGCCCCCGTCTTGACTTGGTCTGCTCATCAGGGCGGGTACATACAATTACCGTGCCGCTAGGATGCTCATCATGCGTTCGGCAGAACAGTCTTCGGAGGCTTACGAATTCAGATAAGACAGGTTATGCCCCCAGCGCAGGCAGCTTTCTTTACATTGAGCGGGGTATTTTGGGTGCCACCAAATAGGTTGACATGAAACTGCTGCGTCTTCCTAAAACTGTCTGTTCAACATATCCAGCAGTGCGGTCAATGTTTTGGAGGCAGAGGATAGGCTTACCTGTCTTGACCTTGATGATTGGGAGGCTCCGCCAGTTTCCAGCAGCCCAGTGAAGGCACCAGAGCTTTGACTGAGTAACCTGCCCACGCGCATCTAAGACCTGAATAGGGGGCGCAGTACGGTTGAGCTGCACGCGCACACAGCTCAGCGGCGGCTAGGCTTCTGCCAGGCAGATCTAGGGACCGCAAGAGAAGATGGCGAACTCATCGCTACTTGATTTTCTGGATCAAGTTGGCCTTTGCCAAGCAGATCAGTCCAAAAGAGTGCACCGGATTTGCCAGCCATGCACCGTACTGCGGTCATCAGCTGAAGGGTGGCTTAAGCATCAAAGCATTTGTTGTCTGAAGGCGTTGGATCTCTGTATCCACTTCATGTTGCAGCTTTCTGACGATGTGGCAACCTGGATGCGGGAGGAAACGATTTGGGTTAGCTACATGATAAGCACGCCTGAGCAGCCAAGCCATTTCTGAATGACTGCTACCTGTGCATTGCAGCATTTGCACGGGGCAGGATGATGAAGCTGGTGAAGATGATGAAGAGCGGGGTTCCCAAAGAGAAGGAGGCTCGGCAGCCGCACACGTGCGTGAGTTCTGTCTGCACCGAGGGCCTACACTTTCGGCAAAGAAGCGGCGCAAACCCAAGTTGAAGATCGTGAGAGGGTGGGTTGTCGTTTCTGACAGTCCTAAATCTTATGAAGCCTTTACATGCAGATGACCCAGCAAGAGTTTTTCACATTTGCCATACATGTCTGGGATTGTGGCCACATTAGGTTGATCGACTCAGCCGTTGTGCGGCGAAGGCTGCCTGTGCACATTGCGGGTTCCAGTGGACAGACCTGGCACAGCATGTATTTGCCAGTATGCTGCTGGTTCTGAAGACTGCCTCAAGGGTTCAAGGAATCAATTGGGTGAGCAGCCTTTCGCTGTTGTCCTGCAATGCCAGAGGTGGCAGTCTGTACGAATGTCGCGCTTATCACTTAATTTGTCATTCAAATTTCAGCTGCATTCCTAGGCACAACACCTGGCTGACACGTTGTTGTGTGCTTTGCCGAAGGTTGAGCAATTCCTGCCTATGCTTGAGGCCTTGAAGCAGGTGCCTTTTGGGAATTAGGTGAGCTTGGCGTCTCCCTGCAGCTTTCATGAATCCGATGTTTTATTCTTTGCAAACGGTCTGAAGACCGACCATTTTGACCAGGCTGTGACCAAGCTGTTTCAGACCGGCGACTGGAAGCAGGTCTCACAGAGAGTGCGGCACTGCTAGAAGGGGCGCCGAACGCGATCAGGTAGTTGCGGGTATCTCGATTCTGTCCATGATTGCTGAATATGTGGATGACGAGGCATGAAAAGCTTCGAATTGCAATTCAACTTGAAGAGCCATAGCAATGTGTTTCTGCTAGGCCACAGTTGCGCAAATGATGCAGGGCCTCAAGATGCAGTTGTCTGCAACCCATGCGCTCACCTGGCATGTTTGGTGCAGCCAGGCGGCCGAAATCAGACCACTGCTTTTGGTATGTTTGAATCCAAGAAGACTCTTCCACACCCGCTGTGGCAGATTTGGCTCAGATAGGTGCATTTGACTCCTACAATCCACATTCCGACACAGTTTGGACACACAGGGAGTACACGAACTCAATTTCGCTACAAAGTGAAGATTTTCGTTGCGCAGGTTGAACCTGATAGTTGGTAACATGTCCAAATCAAGAAAGAGCCATGCGTTGCCGCTTCGCACGCCTGAGCCTCAAAGAACCATGCTGTCTGGGAGGCTAAGCCTGCAGGGATTCATCAGCCCAAGTAACAGTTTGCATCTCCTCCGCTGTGCTGCTAAGGTCCAGGCTGTTGCGCTTCTTCGGCCTTCTGGGATTGTTGTCCTTGTTTCAATCGCGTATTCGGATGGGGCAGGACCGGTTAGAGTATGCCACGCTTCTGCAAAGAACAACATAGAGTATCTTGCAACATCTGCACCACTCCGCCAGACATCTTCAACGGCAGTGTTGCTTCCAAGTCTGGCTTGGTTCGGCTTTCCTGTTATGCCGCGAGGAAGCCTTCTGCCAAGCTTCTGTGGGGGCACTGGCGCGCTCAGCCCTGGTGTCAAGAGCCGCGCAGGCCTTTCAGCGATATCTCTCTCAGTCTTTTTTTTGGCAAATGCCCTCCAGCTTTAAGCGAAGGCCAAGAGCAAAGAAGATCCGGTGAAAGAGCTGCAGCGCAAACTGACGGAGGTTCTGGGAAAGAATCTTACTAAGAACGACATCATTTGGCGATACCAAGCTGCCAAACAGCATATATTGCAGTTGTGGTTTTGAACGAAGAGCAAGTGATAAGCCGCATAAGCTGTGATGGCCTGGCTAGATTCGAGTTGTTGCCAATTTTCCGGGAAGCTGACTTGTTTGACTTGTTGACTCTTCTCTGAGGCATCCCTGGAGCTGCCTTGCCTTCAGGATTTTTCTACCACATCCGTGGGCCAGGTGACGTTCGATGGGAGCAATTCTAATGAATGCCGGAGGACTCGGAATTCCATGCACGCTTTCTTTGAAGGAATGGCTTCTCTTGGGCCTCGTCAACTTTAAGTCTTTCTGCTCTGTCAGGAAAGCAGCTGCAGCAATGCTGGCAGCTTTGGACTTTGAGCAGCTGGCAGCTGAGAGCAAGAAGACAAGCAAGAAACCAGAGAAGCTGCTCATCTCAACAAGTTCGTCTGCGTGCGCGCTACATGCCCCGAAGCTAAGCCCTGCCGCGAGGAACAAGTCACAGACCGCCAATGAAGGGCAAACAACAACAGACAAAAAGAAGCCGAATATTGGCGATGAACTCGAAGGAAAGGTCACTGCGAAGACTTCGAGGGGTCTGCGAATGAACGTTGCAGGGAACGAGGCTGGAAGGAACAGCTTGTCTCATCTCCTGCGCCCTGTTGAAATGGCAGCCTGCCAGGCTTTCCTGCTCGCCAGCGAGCTTTGCGATGGCTTTCCAGAAGACGTCCCGAAGCTAGGTTCCACCTTCCAAGTGCGCGTCTTGCAGAACAAAAAGCTACTGCAAGTCACAAGGCGTGAAGGCAGCCTAGAAAGGCAGAGCTATAGCGATCTCAAGTTTGACGCTTCTGTCTTACAAGATCTGGATCCCTCCAGCAAGGTGGAGGCTGAGGTGATCGGATTTGATTTCACGAATGCATTTCTGAAAATCGTCAGCCCTTCGGACCCCAGCAAAATGACCCTCGCGAACCTTCCTCGAAAGGACTTTGCCGAAGGAGCGGAAAAGGAAATCCGCATCGGCAGCAAGATTCAAGTTCGGCGGAAGTATTCCAAAAGAGGTCGAGACATTGTAAGCATGCGTGAGCAACCAGATCGGCAGCCAAAAGATCTCAATGTTGGGGACACGCTGACGGGCACCGTAGACAGCATTCTTCAGGGACTTCGTCCCGCGATCTTCCTGGATGTGGGGTTCGACAGGCCTGCGTATATGGACTGGCAGGAGTGTGGCGAGGGCCACAATGCTACCAACTTCAGGAGCTTGAAAAGAGGCCAAAGCACTTCCGTTCGTGTGTTGGCAGTGCAAGGTGACCGCATTTACGTTACCAGACGACCTGGGGATTTGCACCGAGCATCTCTGGATGGGTCAGGTAGGCTGCCAAAGAATACACCCGATATCATGTCAAAGTTCATGGCGCTCCCTCTTGAACAGGAGCTGGAAGGGAAAGTGTATCGCCTTTATCCAAGATATGCCAGCATAGCAGTCAAGTCACCAGACGGTGACACGGCAGATGGATATTTAGGAATAGACTATTTCAGCAAGTCCTTCATTCAAGAAGCTGCTCCGGGATTGACGGTTGCAGTGCGACGACTTCCTAAGCAAAATGCCGAGGGCCCGAGACTAATGCTGACCATGCAAAGTTCCTCTACAGCCGGAGGCAGCAATGAGCAAGCGGACACTCTGCAAGAAGAACCTTGTCACTGTTAGACACTTCCTTTAAACGAACGAATCAGCGGCCTGAGCTACATTGTCAGCCTTGCCCAGAAGGTCATGTAAATGTTGCCTGCGAACCGACACTTGTGCAGCTTGCTGTGCATTGCACCCGCCGAAACTGAGGATGAGCCTGGAGGCAGAGAAGTGCTGGAGAACAAGCCAGCTCCGGTGCCTGATGATGAAGCAGCTTCCGCTGCACCCGATTCAGGTCCACTGGAGGGTTTGAAAGACTTCCTGATGCGCTGAGCATTCTCATCTGACGCACATTTATTGTATTGGCTGCTCGTGCAGCTTAGCGTTCCAAAGCTGGGAAGCCAAACACAAAGCTTTGTGAAGGCAGCCCGTGCTACTAGGTCATAATCCTGGTTTGCTTTGAACATTTGAAGGCGCCGTGCCTGATGGCGCCAGTGTTCCCTATTCTTAGGTGGATGGTTGACCTGAAGTGAATTCTCAGGCAGCCTCCTGCTATGTCACTCGAGACGAAATGAAGTGGCCATGAAAATCGCATGACTCACAGTCTTCACCAAAGCCCAGCCCATGTTTCAAGATGGGGAAAGTATTAGAAGGCAGCAAACTGCGCCAGCCAGGCGGGTTCGCTACGCTGCGTGGGGAGCAGTCGCGCAGTTTTCAGAGGAGGGGAGTTACGTATGTGAAGCTTTATAGCCGCTAAAGCCAGCACATACGCGAATTGAAGGATCATTCTGACGTGCTCAGTTCAGAGGCAAAAGCGTCAAGCTTTGGTCAAGGCCCATGGATTGTGACGCATGGCTTTCCACGGAGGTCTGGGCATCGCAGCTCCTACCGGAGTTCTTGAAAGGCCAGCGCATCTCTGCCGTAGCATCTGCAGCGCTGCCGCAGATGGCAGACGGTTTCTCCCGGCAGGTCTTGACGATTCCTGCGAAAGGGTTTGCCTTCGCAGCATGGAGGCCTGAGGATCATGGCCAGCTCATTGAGAAATTTGCAGCTGTTGGCAAGGCCTTTCAGCATTTTGGGGAATCTGTTGAACGTGAGGACTGCACTTTAGTATACAGCGTTGACGCTAGTATGGCTTTGGCAGGACTTGGAGCCCTTTGTGCAACCTTTGATGGAGAAGCTTGGTGCGAAGATGCAAGGAAGCGCGAAAAGGCAGAAGAAGGCCAGCCATCGCTTTGCGGTCTATTGACACACTTTACTGGAAGCAGAGCTGGAAACATGAGACTCTTCAAGAACAGCCCTGCGTAAATTTCATCGAACAGTTGGAAATGGCGGGTTTAAATCACAGTTTGCGCCCCATTTGCCAATAGTTCAGGCAATCACGTTCATTGCCGTCATTGCCGGACAGGCCATGCTCGGGTGCTCCTTGTGGATTTTTTTGGCCGTCTCAGCCACTCACTTTCGGCTGCTTGTCTAGAAGGACAGGCTCAACTTGAAAAGTAAGGAGCCACAAGCCTCCGGTCTGAATCGGGGCAGTGGGTGTTTCCTTTGTTTCAATTCAACAGCCTTTAAGTTGTGCAATCTGCACACGAGCAACATTGCAGACCTTTTCCAGGGAGAGGCCCAAGAAGGGCGCAAGGAGCCCGAGGATGAATTTAACAACAATGATGCCAGTGGACCTAGGCCTGTGATGAAGATATGGGGACATATGGGGACACGCAGACGATGAATGGAGAAGTCATCGTAGAAAATGAATGATACATGACATGGCAAATGATGCTGAAGCTACGCTCGAAATGCTTGGGAGGCGAAGGATAATGCCATGATGATTTTCATTACAATCCAGCAGCCCACCACCCCAAATGCAACAAGGAACTTCTGGCGGTATGGCCATCAGGTAATCAGTGTCATCGTTGCCGTCAGCACCTTTGCAATTTGCAACGGAAAAAGGGAACAGTCGGGAAGAGGCTGCATTCCCAGGAAGCAAGTGGGAAGAATAACACCAAGAGTAATACATAAGAGCGACCGAGCAAACCTGTGGTCAAAGCTGTGAGAGTAGCAGGTGCAGACCTCAATGACAATAAACTATTCCAGATGTGCGTGCAAGTTTGTGAAGAAGCAGGGCAATAAATTTGATCAAATCAGCGAAGCACGAGCCCGTGCAGTCGCATGTTTACATATCCGACTGACATCAAACTACAAGTAGGCGGAGTGAGTTTTGACGTGAAGGCAGGATCCAGCGGCTTGCAAAGGTTTGTTAGATTTCTGACAAATATTGCTTTGCAGGAAGATCGAACCCTTTCGTTGGTGGCGAGCGCAGGGGGAGAAGCGGATGGATCCGGGAAACCCCAGTGCATTCAGCACTGAGCGGAGGATCGCACACAAGAAATGACCAGAAGCTTGAGGTCATAACATGGGAGGGAATAAAAATGGGAACGACAAAATAGCAACTCGCGAAAGCAGAGACAAGTCTCATGTTCTCTGCATGGCGTCCTGCCCCATGCAAGGATGATAGAGACCAGAAGTGCAGTATGCAAGAGGATGAAAGGGGATGGTGGAAAGGAAAGGATGAAGAGTGAAGCAGCGAACACAGCGCCCGAACTCATGTGAAAATCAACGTCAGGGGTGGCGGCAGTTCGGAGGATACCTGCACACTTGGTACATGGCTGCAGGGGAGACAACCTTGGCAGTCCTAAGTCCTTTGTCGATGGCAGTGTTTTCAGGCGGTGCTGCACATTTGATTCCATCTTGCGGGCTTCTGGGTCCGAACCTTGCGGAGCCGCCACGCGAAGTACGAGATTTCTTTGCCAAGCTGGCGGAGCTTAGACCTGGTTTTGAGTTGCGAAAGGATTGGGCAAACCTGGGGCAAGCAAGCATGCCACTCCCATGGCCGGAACGAGCCTCTGAGAACTGGAAACCGTAGCAGCCCCTGTGCATTGTCAGGGTGCATATGGGAGGATGTCAAAACGAGCGGTCGGAGAATGAAGATAGAGGTGACCAGTATGCTTTCGAGGGCACCATGTCTAGTCTTCGGTGCAAGGCAGGGAACTCACGAGGATCATGTACTCCCCAGGTTAGCAGTGGATAAGCGATAGCTAGGCGCTAGGAAATTAAGCCAACCTTGAAGACATCCCCAGGTCACGATTGTATCTGCTTCTCAATTTACATTCAAGTTTCAAGACGCTTGAAGCAAAAACTGCCCTGCTGTCCAGCCTTTGAGGGTTTTGAACGTGAATTTGCTGAGGGTTTTGAACGTGAATTTGCTTGCAGCTCCAAATTTGAAATGCGTTTCATGGATATGAGTATTGCAGAGGATTTTCTGCGCTAGTGCTGCGCTGGCTTTTGCGCTAGTCATTTTCTCGCAACTTTGCATTTGCCTGCAGATAGCCAGTTCGCGTGTAAGCGAGTAGAGGGTGTCACGGTCAGAGTCCAGAGTTGTAGCTTCTTTCCAGACAAGGTGAAAGTGTCAAGCTGCAACAGGAGCTACCTGCAACCCTAAGCTGTATGTAGACATTTCTTTCGTGCTTCCTTGCACATGCAGCAATTACAGAAGTCCGCACTAATGTACTTTCCTGAAGCTTCATCAAATCCCATAGTTTGAAGAGGTGTATGACATGCCTTTGATTTTAGGCTCGCTGATGGGACGAGGCCCCCTGGAATACAGCTTTTGAGAGGACTTTCGAGAACAGCAAAAGGCAGAACTTCTTTCGCATTCGAATGGCAAGTGCTAGCCTCACTATGTCTGAGAGACGGACGCTGTTACCATGTTGTGTTCACAGTGCATTTGCCACAGTTTGGTGTTCAAATCTCAAGCAGACAAGCTCCAGGGTGAGTGTGGGCAGACAAAGGGCATGTGGTGCATGCTTCCATGCTCAGGGAGGAATGTCACCCCGCGCTGTCCCAAAGAGAAGGTACACTGCAGCCCCATAGCCATGATTCAGGGAACTCTGCTGAATGAGGCTAGGCTAGGCAATAAGCTCAAGTTCTTGGCAGCTGCGTCGATCTGGAAATGTGAGTGGCTTCACAAATGAAATCCCACGGGAGCTCAATCGTTAGAATTCAGTTCTGATAACAGTAACTCGAAGTGGCAGTGGTCCTCAATGCCGAGCAAACTGACATTTTGCAACTACTTGGTTGCCTTCAAGAGTTGCACCGAAAGATTGTTCACTGGCCTCCCAGGTACGTATCAAGATGCACACTTGAATCACCTACTTCCTTGTGAGACTTTTCTATTGTTGTTGTGTGTAAATGCAAACAAATCTCGAAATTGTAAAGATACTCCACAGAGAAACTACGGAAAAAGACACATGCGCCTGACAAATACTGAACTCGATGTTTGAATTGTGCGTGTCTTCTTGCAAACCACTCTGTTTGTAGGGCCTGCTGGCACGACTTTGGACCAAGGTTTGTGGGATGACGGTTTGTAACTGCCCTTCACTTAGACGCCATCCCTGGGATCTGATAAACTGTAGGGCCACATTTTCACGGGAAGACTGACAGCTTCGGTGCCCTCAAATGTTTGAGATTGTATTTATTTTAAAAAGCTCTGTGGGCGGCAACGCCGTAGAGTTCAAACAGAGATTTGGGCAAAGCGAGTTGCAGGCTTGGTTGTGTGCCCTAAATTCGCGCTCTGGCCTTGAGATTCTTTATGTGCTTTGCGCGTCTGCCATGCTTGAACAACTCTTTGGGTATATTTTTTGCACGAGTGCCGCCCAAAGATCAAGCTCACACTCACGTCAGTAGTACTCCCGTCCAGCAGATTTACGGAGTGCCGAGATGTGATGAGATGCAGTCGCTCGGTAGGGAAGGCCTCCATTTTTCCCAAGGCCTCTGCCATGCCAGAAATTCCTTCCAAGAGCTGCGCTGCTTGGGAAGTGATTTCACAGATCCTACGCGGAGCCTCTAGAAGCGTCAGATTCCATTTTGCTGACTCAACACGCTCTTCATTGCTTGGCAGGCGGACGATGCCTTTGCACCATACTACGGGCATCTCATGCCGTTGCTAAAGCAGGCCCCTGCAGCTCTCACCCCAAAGTGCTGCAAGACGGGTGGTTGTGATTGGCAGCGCAGGTGATCCAGAGTACCCTGCACAAGACGGAGGAGCAAACGAGCCGCCTGCATCCAGTCTAGTTGAGACTGTAGCTTCATACCGGCTATCAACAGGAGCGTCAGCTTCTTGGTAAATGCTTCGAATGCATTTCCCTGCTGGCAAGAGCCTGCATCTGAGACATTTGTGCTTTAGCAGTTTTCGGACTTAATGGGCCTCTTTTTCTTGGTAATGGCTCCTTGCACTGGAACTGGTTTAGCGGCTGCGGTGGCGGCAGTGGTGATAGCGGCCTCTGTTGCCCTCCTGCTGCTGCCACAGTGGTGGAGGTCATGGTGAGTGCCAACATAGGTTAAGTGGAAAGCTAGGCGGTCAATTGACCCTACTTCCCCATCTTGCGAGGTCGAACATCTTTCGTCATTTATGGCATTTGTCTGTTTATGGGCCATTTTTCAAGCAGATGTTTAATGGTTTGGCTCAATTGTGGTTTGGCTTGGTTTCATACCAAAGGACGACACAAACTCTAAGCCCTAAGCCCTAATCTCTAAGCCCTAAACCCCTAAACCCCTAAACCCTAAAGCCTGGAGATCCCCTAACCCAACACACGTGAGGCAAACATGTACAAAACAAAGAGCTGTGAGCCAAACCTTGAACACAACCTTCGCTGTCTGTTTATGCATGATGATTCTCTCTGCGGCTGGCGTAGCTGTAGCCCGTCCTGTTACGCATTCGCTTATAACAGGTCACAGCATGCTTTCTGCAAACATTCTCCATGCTTTTGTGATAGTTGTCCTGCATTTGCTAAGACGCGTCTGCGGCATGTCTGCGACAAAGCACAAGCGCCTGTAATGCACCATCCGCTGTTTTTGTGCTCGAAGTCTTGCTGGCTTCTTCCCCGTCTCTTGTTCTTTCTTCCTCCCTCTGATTAGCGCCATAGAGTGCTATGCCGGATGTCTGCTTTCAGGCAGTGGGGCGCAGTGGATTCCGTGCAGATGCTGAACAGATCATGCAGGTACGGGTTCGAAGCTGTGCTTTGCAAGTCGGCTGACTTCTTTCGAGCTGATTGAGGCCATGATCCAGGCAACCCAGATGCCGAACTTGCCGGCCAATGATCCTGTCAAGGCTCAGCCAGGTCATGCTGGACTAGCAAATGAGGGATCACACGGTTTGCGCAGGAGTACATGATGGCTGCATCAGAAAGAATATGTGCTGCCGACTCAGACGAATATGTTTCACCGGAGCTACCGCTAATGGCTTCCCAGAGTTTGCATAGTATTGCAAGAGGCAACGCTGAAAGACGACTTTCTGCCCTTCGTGCCGCACATACTGTGCATGGCTCAGTGATAGTGTTGCAAGATGTTGCAAGCCTTCAGTCTTCCTGCGCTACGGAAGCTAAGGCCTGGAGTGCTGGAAAAGTTTACTCTAGCACCCAGGGCCCTCTCCTGAGCAGCGCAATTGTTTTCTGTCTAAGCACTCCGCTTTCTCAGCATGTTCGTGAAGGAGATCGGCGGCCACGATGAAATCGATGAGAACGATGAGGTGAATCTGACTCTGGTGAATGATAACGGTCAGGCGCGATGCTTGCATTCAAGCGCCGTTTTTTCTCCTACTTCTTTGTGTTTGTTTCGGCTGCTTTCTCGGGCTTCCTGCCTCCCGCATTTTGCATGCTTGCTGACTGACGTTCTACTTCTTCATCTTGCTTATCTGGTTCTAGTCGTTATTATTCAAGCATCTCCCACCTGCACTAGGTTACGTGGCTTTTGATATCCAACAGATCCTACAGGCTCCAGACCCAGATGCACGCTCTGCGATCCAAGCTCTTACTGCTTAGCCTTGACCTCGTGTGCTAATGGACCCCAAGGCCTCTCGCTTTTGTTCTCTTGGCAGGTGCAGTTCAGTAGCGCCAAAGCCCTCGACGCCAAGCCATTGAACCCCCCCAAATTGTTGCCGACAAACGCTTGGGCCCCAACCATCCAAACCCCCGGGCCCGCAATCTCCAAGCACTTTTAGGGCCCCAGGCCAAATCCTCGACACCCTGCAGAACAAAAAAAAAAAAAAAAAACAAAAAACACGGTGACCTGCACAAGACGCAGAGACGAACTGTCACCATGGCTGAAAACAGCCACACCTGGCCATGGAGCTCTGGAACCGAGTTTTTTCACATGAAGCCTTCCATCCTGATTGCTGAACCCAACTGCAAAATCACAAATGACTGATCTTGCCCAAATCCTCAGCAGCAACCTCGCGCGCTCAAATCCCTGATGCTCCTTTGCCATGCCTTCCTAGACTCCAATATCAGGGGCCTCTAGACTCGAGACTCGAGACTCTAGATGCCTCACTTTCACTGAGTGGAGACCCTTCATCCCTGGATCTCTCAATCTGTCAAGCTGTTCTGCGTTCTGAACAAGGCCTCTGCCCCTCAACCTGAATTTTCCCTGATATCATATACGACCCTGAGAGCCATGAATGTCAGGAATTGTTGTGCACCCGAACAAGCTGCGCATCCCCGATTCCAAAATCTGAGCCTAGAAGAACCTTGAACATGTCCCGCAACATGTCAGCCTGGTGCAGGTCAAGGTTATGATCATGTATTCCTCCGAGATCCAGGACCCAAATATTGCTTGGTGTTAAGTGGCTACTGGCTCATATTACTATGCAGCTTCGCAGAAGGATCTGAAGGCAGCACTGGAGTGCGTGCATGAGCTCCCAACTCAAAGTCAGACATTTCATCACCATTTTGTGACACCTTCTCGAGCTATTTCCAAACAGGTTTGTGGAAACCCTGGCAGCCTTGTACGCTCCGTTTGTTGCGGAGACTGCCAAGGCAGGATGCGCATACTATGCATACATCATGAACACTCCGATTCCGGCTGTTGTCATGTGACAGGCTTTGCTTCCAGTTTTCGACTTCTGCATGGAAGATGGCATCAGGCGAGATTCCCCTGAGCATCTACAGAGTCAGCAGGAGAAAGCCCAGCCCAGTCTGTGTTTATCTGTGGCTCTGTCAAGTCGCGAGGGATTTGGCCTTCGAGACGTGGGGCCAGCTATGTCGCAGCGCGCGACAGGGTGGTCAGGCTTTCTCAGTCCGAGGCAAGTCATTTGCTGAGTGTTATTTGTGAGTGCACAGGTTCAAGTGGTAACTGAGCTCGTCATGGAGTTCCTCAAGCGCGTGCTTCCAAAGTTTGAAGCTGAGAAGGTGCGACATGGACAGAGCAACACCCTAGGTTGACAATCCATACTATCCACACTTCAATCAAGGGGGGTTTGTGAGGAAGTGGCATGTCCTAGACCCTCAATGGCACCATGCAGGATGCCATTGTGCAGTAAGAACAACGGCAGTGTGGATCATTTGCAGTCTACAATAGTGTGAAGACGACATTTGGAGGTGGAGTTTGCCGAGCTCAAGACGTGTGCAGACGGGATGACAACATGTCTGAAGCACGCAGCTAAGTGCTTGCTGCAGCACGCCGTCTATGGGCATTTTGCAGTCTCAACGCTACATGTTGCTAAGATGTTTAGGCTCAACAGTCTTTTCGTCCTGCACCAGCAATATCAGAAACATACCCCCTCCCCCCAGCACACCTCTGCTCGAGGCGTCAAAAGCTCAAAACTGCACCCAGATGTCAAGCCTGCAATGCAGCCCAGCGTGGTACACTCTCTGAATTGCTGAAGGGAAGCTGGTCCTGGAATCCTCCAAGCTGAACAGCTGCGCCACATCTGTTCATGGCTCAGCTTGGGAGACTCACGAACTTGTGCTGCGTGCAATATGAAGCTAAGGAAAATCAGTGCGCGGCATGCATGCTTCATGTCCCTCAGCAACGCCTCGAATTACACAGAAGTTCACATGACCTGCTAAAGTAGAGAGTTCGAGGATTCCCGAGCGCGTGCAGAAGCTTGTAGAATTGTAGCATTATGAAGGGTAGCCCACAAATCTAGTACTTTGAGCTTGATGAGGGGATTGGCTGCAATGTGGACTGGCCTCCACAACAGGAGGCTTTGCAAAGCGAACGATTGGCAACTTTGTCATGTTCATTTGATGAGAAGTCAACGTGCATCGTGAAATGGCTCTTCGAAGAGAGGCTTAAAGCATGTTTTAGCCACCGCAGTCATTAATGACCGCAGAGATTTTCAATGCTTTTGAGGGTTGAAGGATTTCGGTGTCCAAATGATCATAGCGTTCTTGCTACATGAGCATGCGGTCACCAGCGCATCCATGCCCAAACCAGAATGGCTTTCAATTTACAGAGCATCCATGCCCCAACCATAATAACGTCCGTGTTCTCGTTGCATTCGATTCACAGAGCATCCATGCCCAAACCATAATATAACGTCCGTGTTTTCACTGCATTCGATTCACAGAGCATCCATGCCCAAACCATAATAACGTCCGTGTTTTCACTGCATTCGATTCACAGAGCATTCATGCCCAAACCATAATAACCCTGACCTTTGGTCTATGGGCAAGCAGCTGGCAGCGCGTGCAACCGGCAGGTGAAAACATTTTCGTGCAGAGGTACTTTTTTACTGCACACCAGACTCCAGGGTAAAACGCAGTACATTGCGCACATCACAAGCGAGAATAGTGGAAATAGCAGTCAATTTGGCTCATGGCTTTCACCTACACTTTTTGGACATGCGCTCGAAACCACCATGCAACGCATATTCTTCATTCACGCCTCCCGAGTGCGACGTGCTGAAAGTGCGCGGTCGCTCACCACGACGGTACCATGTTTGAACCACATGGGCCCGTGGATTTGGTTGAATATCCGAGATCCAACGGTCTCTTTTGGGTGCGTGGTTTGGCATGCAGTCTGTGGAAAAAAACAAAAATCAAGCACGTTCAAAACAACAGAAAGTATGGAATGAAACAAGCTCAGGGTCAACATCATGATGTGACGTTTTGTCGAGCGGCTACTGATTTGATGGAATGATCAAAGACAACCACCCATATATGTATTATGAACTTGATTCGTTTTGTCTATTTCATTTTCAAGGAGACATCTAAATTCAGTTTCTACATATTTACTGAGAACGTTTTTGAAAAGATATCTATGCTTTCATATCTTTCTAGGTTACATACATCTAATTTTAAAAAAGTTGATCTCAAAGATAAGTATACATCTAATATGGAAATGTGAGTTGGAGAGTGCATAAAATACTATTTTTTACTTCCTTTTGAAAGTATAGTTCCATTTAAATTACGATCAGTTCTTCAGCCCATGCCCGAACACTTACAAGAGCGCCGATGCTACACAAACATGTGAGAACGACTCGAACTGCGTGCAAAGTGAGGTTGGGGAGCTGAAGAGAGTGAGCGATGCTTGGGGTCTTCCGTCCCAAATCAGGAGATCATGGGGGGCTTGGCTGTTTAGCTAGTGGAGAATGACACGGGCTTGAACATGTTCATGCTTTTCTGGGCTCTTGCATTTTGAGTCCAGCCTGCGACGAATCGGCAGCCTGAATCTGACGTGTTCCTTGTCCAGGCTCGATCGTTTCCACAAGTGTGCATCAAATAAATGGCTCGCTTGATTTCAGAGCATCGACGCTGTTGTCAGCTACTCCACAAGCGATGGATCCTATGCGCTGCAGATATCGCCCTTGCTAAGATCGGTCCCAGACAGACGCCATTCACATTTCAAACTGTGCAAAAGTTCAGCTTTGCAAGCTGTCAAACCTTGCGGCTTAGTGCATGGTATATGTGGCATGGATTGCAGCTGTGGGCGCGGAATGCAAAATGACAGTTGTTGTTTCTGGAATCATTTCGGGTAATCAGCTACTCTGTCATGTTGAGGAGCCAGACCGTAGTTCAGTGTATGGCAGATCGGACCTATTAGAAATCGTCAGAGTGACAGTCAAATTCATCAGTCCTCTGTTTTCAAAGGGCTACGGCCTTCTCACGACCTAAGATGGCCACTGAAACATCCATCCCACCAATTTGATGCCTGCATGCGCCGGCACATATCATGCTTTTACTGCCATCCGTAAATCTCGGATAGAGAAGTCGTTGGTCCTTTGAGGCCGCACAACCTTGACTGCCCTCGCCGAGTCGCTGACGCGAAGATCTGAGGCTGCCAAGGCAGGCTGGAGAGACACGGAGACGGCTCTGCACGGCTCTAATGAAGCTTGGCAGCTTGACAGGGGCGGCCAGGAGGGACGCAGCAAGATGAGGTGCTCGGCACCTGACCCCAATATACTCCGCAAGATGTTAGCACTTCAGCTCTTCAGCAGGATGGAGAGGATCAAGATGCAGATGAGGACGAAGACGAGCAGGCGGCCAATGATCAGAGCTGCGCGTTTGCTTGAGTTGCTGAGTTGTTTCCTGTACCCGGCAGAACCTTCGAATAGCGATGTGTGAAGTGGCCGGACCGCTGATGCAGCACACGCCTTTCTGTGCACTTTGGCGCGACTTGCTACTGATAATGGCAGCTAAGGCACCACGCTGACATGTTCATAGCTGGAAGCTTTTCTGACTACTTGACGCTCGCAGATCTGGCTCGCTAGCTGCCACAGAAGAGACGGCTTTGTTTCTCCTGGCACGACCAGAGCATGCCAGGTCGTTCAGTGGCTACAGCCGACTTCTTCCAAAGAGGACCGGAAGCTAGCTTTGCGCAATTCTAAGACTTTCCGTGTGCGAGAAGACCTTGGCAGCTTCGGATGATGTGACCTTGCTTTTGCAAGTGATGTGGCGTATTCTTTAAGGTTTGTCATTTGCGACTTTGTTGAGCACCTGGGTGACAAGGCCTGGAGCAGAACAGTCAAGGGTATGGAAGGGTCTCGTCTCCAGAAGCCAAGGCGTTTCAAAACCCATTACATCCAACAAAACGTTGGATGTGCTTACTTGACCATGACGAAGTTTGTGCTATGGCTTCTATTTTGTTGGCGCACCCCAGTCACCCCAAGAGTGCGAACCGATGTAAAAATTGTGTGTCAAGTCTGTGACATGTGCTAATCAGTAAATTTGTGCGCTTGGAACTAAAAATCCAAGAGTCATCTAGTTGCCCCTTGCTAACCACGGGAACCAAGCCCACATGTGAGGGCCCGAAACGAGACTCGACTGCGCTGGTTATCGTGAACTCAATGCCATGGCGTCGAACCTGGAAACCCTTTCAAGGCAGACTCAGCGCGTGGAAGTTCGCAGTGCTGCCACAACACCAGACTGGTGGGTGCTTCGTTCCCAGCCCGCCTTGCCTCTGTAAGTCGAGACAATCTTTTCTGCACAGTTGCTTTGCCGTGCCGCAGCTCAGAGGGTGTGTTCTTCTTGCATGCTTCTCGCGCAGCGCGTGCATCTCTGCACCGGAAAAACCATTTTACAGTTATCCTGCCCAGTTTGCTGGACATTCTGGATTGATGCCACATTCGACTTTCACTAAAGCACTGCAGGGTTGGAATCGCTCCATCTGGCCAGCCCAGTGCCGACCAAACCTTGAAGATTCGCATTTGCGGCAGCAGAACCCAGACCTCAACATCCAGCATACATGTTCTTGTAGACGACGACCGCCATATACTCCATGATGTAGAGATGGGGATCGCCGCAAAGGCTGCGGCCGAATTGGCCGATCTTTCAATACGAGATGTTAGTAGACCCTCGAGTCTGAGTTGCTTAGCGCACGGGCAGGGTAATAGGGTAGTGCAGACGGTGGATGGCATAAGGAACCTACACCCTATTGGACAAGATAGCTAAAAGCGAGCCATAAATCGAACAACCCCTTATCGCAAGAAGTGCGGTTTTGCCTGAGTAAGAACTTATGCATTGTCCTCCAGATGTCCATGCATTGCAGCACAATGACTCACAGGATAAGGCAATGCACAGATGGGGTGGGGACTTTACCCCAAACAAGAGGGAAGCAAGCGGCAACCCAAGAACCTTGCTGACCCAAAGGGCATTGTTTTCAAGGTGCTTGCAGAAGTTGCTACACCTTGATTGTCACCGTGTCACTTTGTGTTGCGAGGAACACTTTGACTGTGTCCATGAGATCTCGCCGGCCGCTGACAGATTCCGCATATGGGTTTTTGCACGAGGTTTGGCATCGGTCGGATGGCAGTCTGTGACTCGAACCGCTGGAATTTCTGCGCGCCAGCAGAACCTCACAGGAGTGCACGATCTTTAACCTCATCAGAAGGTGTGGCGAGGTCATCAAAGACCTGAACGGCACAAGCGCGAACAAAAGCCGAATCCACCAAAATGATAGCTTTCGCAGGAAGGGGGGAGGCTCTTCAAGCAGCAGGGCCAGACAGATCTGGGTAAGATCCATGGTTGTGGCAAGTCATATTCCAGTTGTGCTGGTAGTGGTGGCGGTGGTGGTGGCGGTGGCGGTGGCGGTGGCAGTGGCGGTGGCGGCGGCGGCGGTGGTGGTCTTTGCGTTCTTGTTTGGGTGTAGTTGTGCACTGGTAGTACAGTACTGGGGAGAGTCCTGCCAGTAGCGGTCATCCCAAGATTCCTAGCAATAGTAACGATCATCAATGGTCAAAATGCTTGTGGTTTCTGTGGCTGTGGTTGTGATGGGAGCCATGCAGCCTGGCAATGGGACGTTCAATGAAGGCGTGTCCTCTGGCAAGGATCCTTCCGTCATCCAACAGCCGCAGCGGCATTGACTGTCTTGATCCTGCGTGTTACAGCATGCAACTACTAGTACAAATTGCTTACAGCAGAACCTTGCGTGCGAGCAAGGTACCACACGATGTTGCATGTGAAATTGGCATGAATTCCTAGTGAGAGGTCTCATTTGCTCAAGCTCATGTCCTAGCTTCTGAAGTAGCTATATAAGAGTCGAGTGTTGCTACATGACAGGCTTGAATTGTGGTCCGCAACCGCATCAGGAAATGCGCCTGTAATAATGCACTTGTCTCATATGAGAGTCCGTCCCTTAGCAAGCGAGTTGTTCCTGAGCGGGCTTGACCCTGCCTGTAGGTCTCCGCCCACTGGCCGCAGTTCGTGCCAAAGCTTGTTGAGGAGCCTTGTCCTCACTGCCCTTGCACCTCAACGTGTTGTTTTTGCAAGGACATCCTGCACCCAGATGCAGAACTGCGTCAACCTGCGTTCACAACTCAGTCACCTCACAGCTTAACTCACATGACTCACATGAGCCACGGTTTTATTCTGCGCTTGTCTACCAATACTTAAATCCGGAAATAACTCCTGGGATCCCTCGGGATGGTTTCCGAAATGTGCTGCTCGCTGTGCGCGCGGAAGCATGCAGAAGGTTTTGCGGAAGCATGATGCTCGCGGAAGCTCNNCTTGCAGAAGCTCCTGGCGACCCTATGCGCTGTTTGCGGAAGCATGGCGGAAGCACCTGCCAAGAAATCATCGCGGAAGGGTTTGTGGAAGCAAGATGTTTAGAAGTGCCGACCAAGAGGAAACTAGTCTTTGCGGAAGCTCCGCGGAAGCTCGCGGGCGCAAGGGTTGTTATTTCCAAAGAAATCAATAAGGAATAGAAACCGCAGCTCACATGATTTGCACGTGACCATCCTCTGCAGCACAAGCCTGGCTGCCCCATTAGGTGCTATGGTGTGTACCTCGCGGCGAGGCTGCAGGTGGCATCTTCAATACTGCTTCCCGCACACGAATTTGTTGGAAGCTAAATGGGAGGCTTTCTCTCCTCTGGCCCTAGACGCTGCGAACAAGCTGTCACAGGCAATGCAGCTATTTGGCTTGCTTGTGGCTTCCGTAGCCGTTCGCAAACATGTGAAACATGAGCAGGTGGTAGCGCAATCAAGACAAAGATCGAAGAAGAAGTCTGAAAAGATTGCGCAGGCCGATTGATTGCTTGCAATCTTCAGATGGTTCACGAGCAGCCATTACCTTTGTGTTAGCTGCTATTTGTAGCTGCATGAAGCCATTTCAATTCCAGAATTTGCGAGCGTGCAGCTGAACAGGCCTGCGCAGACAATGCGCTTTCTGCCCTTGTGTCTGCCTAAGACATTGGATGTGCTGGAGTCTTGTGGCGAATCTTGGTATTCTCAGATCGAGATTCTCCTAGTCCATCATCAAGCAGTGGCCTCTGTTCAGGCAAGTAAGCACGCCGTGAGTGCTTCTGTTTGTAAATCATGCCATACAGCTGGCGGATAACTCGTGAAGGCGCAAGTTTGGAATGTCTGGCTGAGTGGCCTGCTGGATTCTTAGAGGCCCTTTGAGGTTTGAGCAGATTTGTCAGATTTGTGCATCAAGGCCGTGTCAAGAAGATGAGAGCGAGGGCATTCGAAATCATCGCACGTTGTTAAGGCTCATCAACGAGGATCTGCAAGGGGGATTGTGTATGACAGAAGATTTCTTATTGAGTCGTAGTAGTGACGGCATGCATCATCGACGAAGTTAAGCTCTTTGAGCTTTCGGCAAGGAGAAACCTGAAGTTGTTGGCGAAGGAGGCCTGAGAGTTGCTAACTGTCTCATGCTACTCAAGTGTCGTCGATACATTCTTCCTAGGTTCAATTCAAGCATTCTCCTGTACGGTGCCATTTTTGCTGAGATTACCAATGGCATGTTGGATTGAGCATGCGCACTGCATCCCTGTGTGGTAGATTGAGAAGTCTTAGTTGCATGCCCAGTAGCAGAGTGCTGCAGATGAATTTCAAGGCCAAACATTCGGACCTTGCATCCACGGCCAACCACAGATGCTGCAACAGCTGCCAACGCCTTGAAGGGTCCCCTTCTTGAATTCAAAACTTTTCTGGGAGGAAATCATGATCTGCCGCTAATGATTTAATGCTCAGATCGTGCCGGCCGATGGCCTCTATGGGTCTTCTCACGTGTTTGCTGAAGGTTGCCGACATATATGGAGGAGGATGCATGGGGGCAAGAAATTCAAGGGTGGCTTTTAAGCAATGAAGTCTAGAAGTAGAGATGAAGCATCTCTTTGAGAGTCAGTTCTCGTGTCTCAAGGGCCTCAGAGGAATCACTTCAAACGTCCCGGCGCGGCCCTGTGGTCTCGGTCCTGATCTCCTTTTGCAGGTGCAAACGTGCCAAAGCTCTTCGGGATCCTTGTAGACGTATACAAGACCGACATGGCAGATGAGGCCGGAACTTCGCCAAGGTAGGGATCAGAAAGTGCATGAAGATCCTCTGAGTTGACATCCCGTGGCATTGGACAGTTTGCGCTTCGGCGCTGCGCTTGGCAGCTTTGCTTCTCGTTTCAAAGCTCTCTGATCCTCGAGTCTGCAAGTCGAGGCTGGGCGAGTCAAAGCTGGAGAGCTTTGCTGCTCAATTTAGCTCGAGCCTTTGGAGAGCTTCAGCGAAGATAGTTATGTCAGCATGCAGCGTCAGGTGAGAAGCAGAAGAAGAAACTTCTTAGAATAGTTCGGGAGGCTCCTGTTTCAAACCGTGCATACATGTTAATTGCTTGAGCCGCTGATATGCGTGAATGCTCTGGAACAGTGTCTAAGCAGCTGTTTGGCTGTCAAGGGTAGGGATGCTCCATGCGACTTGCATTCCCACATCTTGGAGCCGGTGCGCTCCAAGCCTCGAGCCCATTTCGAGGTGACGTGTGTCACAGGGCTGTAGCCAGATGCGCTCAGACAGCTGCACGCACCGACCCCAACCAACCTTTCCGGCGTCTGCAGATTCGACCGTCCCGAAGGCGGGAAGTGCGAAGTTTTTGGCTCCTGTGACGTTGCTGCTTTTTACACTGCAGGCGACAAGGTCTATTGCTACCTCCCGGTTGGCCGCAAGCAGAGAAGGTTGGATGCGGCATGATATGGTATCGTACGGTAGCTGTTTTCTTCCAGATTCCTGTGCAAAGGATAATGAGCAGGAATACAAATGTAGAGATATGCAGAGCATGCAGCAAGAGGTTCCAAGACTACTTGGCGCTTGTGCCGCAGGCCTTTACTCGCTTTCCTTACGCAGCAGCGAGGTGGTCTAGACATGTGCCTGCAGGAGCGAAGGCAGGCAGCGTGTCTGCAGCTACGCGCCGAAAGCGGACGAAGAGTTCAATGGCGTTCCAACCTGAAAATAGAGTTGCGCTGTCTCAGGATGTAGCGCAGTCTCTCTCTCTCTCTCTCTCTCTCTCCACTTGTTGCATTTCCTTCCCAAGGCTCATTGATCGAGTACTGTTTTTGGGTACGGGTTCTGCAGTGCCTGTGCCTGGGCAGCGAAACATGCTGGAAGCTCAGCTCTCTCTTCTTTGCAACACTCTTTGTATCCTTTTGTAACATTCATGCATCCGCATCGCCTATCTTGAATACGCTTGACATTTGCAAAGCCCTGGAAGGTCCAGTTTGGCCGTGATGTTGAACACAGGACCGCATGCCAAAACTTGCAGCTGAGGCATGTACGTGTGCTTTGAGACAGGGTTCTGGCCAGCATGAAAAAGGCATAAAAAGGCGAGAGATCCAAAGTCAGCTACGGCACAATGATCGCAAAGAGTCCAGGAGCGGCTATTGTTATAGATTGCGGTGAGGGCACGCAGCATCACATCAAGGCTAGGGCTGAAATCAAGCAAGAAGGCAAGAAGAGGCAAGAAGGAAACACAACAACTGCAGGTGAGTAAGCTTCTGAAGCTCTCCCGCGTAGAGGCGCGGGAATGCTCGCTATGCCAGTGCTACAGGTCTGTACAGTAAGCTGTGCATTGCAGCCAGCAAGCATGTAAGCAGAGAGAGCCCTGCGCGTGGAGAATTTAATGCTCGAGCGTTGTTCTTGGTGAGCAAAGAGCCTTCAACTTGCCATGCACGCAAAGACGTAGAAAGTCGAGTACTCTATGCTTCACTATACCATATGAGACCTGCAAGCCATGGCCATCACTCCTCCCATCACTTTCCAGTTCTGGAATGACCAGTGCGGTGCTTGGAATGACTGCGGTTGTACTTGTTGGTGATGGGTACCGATATCTTCACGCCCTGCAAAGGTCATTTCAATCTTACGCACTGCCGCAGCAGCAGCTGCTCTGCCAGAGCCTGTTGCAGACTCCACGCCCAAATGAGGCCAGTGAAGTGATGCGGATGGCACGTGATGGCTTTTTGCAGCAGCTTCATTGAACAAAATTGTGCAATCCTGTCTTCACGAAGTCAGGTGGTCATGTCGCAGTCGCCTTATGTCATTTCCCACTTCAACAAGGTCCCGCACCAAGTAGCAAGCGCCCCTTGATTTGTAGGTGGTCCAGTGAGCTCTCGCCAGGTTGAGCACGGAGGGGCCTTGCAGACAAACACGAAAACTGGCTTCCAACGATGGATAAGGCTATGCAGGGCTGTGTTTTGTGAGGTGCAAGCCCAGTCCTGGATAGGATACAACCACCTTACGTGCTCCCTGGAGTGGCTGCCTTGGTTCCTCCAAGAGAAATACACTTCTGCTTCGAGGCGTGTTCAACAGAGATGCGTGTGAGTTTGCCAAAGCCATGCCTGGGTGTGAGCCGAAGGATGGGAGAGATGGTTCACAGCTGGTCCCCTTTGCAGAGGAGACAAACATGAAACCACGTGTTACATATTCCTCTGCCTCTCTTCGCTTTGTTTGTTTTCTTCCCCCCGCCTCTCTCTCTCTCTCTCTCTCATCCTTGAGTGGAGCAAAAGGAGCTGCAAGCCGATCTCAAGAACTTTCTTGCCTCGAGTCCGCGACCATCAGAGGCGTTGCAACATATGGCATGAGGGACAGATTTAAAGCCTGCAGAAAAAGCCTTGCATGGCTGAAGGTCTACTTCCAAGTCCAGGGTACTCCGTACCTTCTCTCAGGAATGGACCAGATACAGGACATGTGAGCTCATGTGGTGCTCCTTCCGATAATTGCCCTTGCTTGAGATCGACGAAGGATGTCAGTAGTGATGCACCGCTGGCGCAGGTCCGCAACTCAGACCCAAGTGGGGCAGTGGTCGAGCTACATCATAGACATTGGAGCCGCTTATCGGGCTCGCATGCAAGTTTTCTCCCGGGCCAAGTCTGGTACCGGCCCACGGAGTCAGCAACCAAATCTCTGTTGAATTTGCCGGCCGTGCCACCGGCCAGAGCCATGTTCATTCGCGCTCGAGTTCGAATTGTCATCACTGATTTTATTACGTGGCGATGTTTGTTTTAGGGTGGAACCCTGGAACTGGGTGGGCCTATGCAGCAGCTGCATGATACTGGGTGGGATTGGCCATTTCAGAACCAGCAATCCTTCATGCGGGGCTGGGCAAAAGCTTTTGCATTCAGGGTGGCAGACTAAGCTAGGAGATTCTGTTTGTTCTTGTTCAAATGATTTGGTTAGCTAGCATTCTTCTCTGCAGCTCCTCCGGGATTGCTGATTTTTGCCTGGCGGCAGCCTTGTGCGACCGCCACCGTTGACTTCCGCTGTACACGGCGTTGAGCACGGGATCTGGCTGTCCACTGACAGGAAGGGCTGACGACAAAGCTTTCATGCCTTGTGATGGCTGCCATACCAGGTCTAGTTTTGCTTCCTGCCTCTGCTCAGGTCAACTTGAAAACTGGCTTCATGCGACGAGTGAGGCAGGCACATGCCCTGCACGAGCAATGATTCGAAAAGCCTCGCAGGATCATGCAGGGGCGAGTCCCGCGTGCAGTGCCGTCCCGGCCATCTTACAGAGGAGCCTTACACTGAATAAATCAAGAAGAGATGTGGTAGAAGATAGCTTTTTAGGAGCTTCTTCGAGCCATGGCTCATTGGGCTTCGCCGGCTTGCCAGCGTCGTCATCAGGCTCCTTGGACCTGGCCTCGTTTGCAGCTGGTTCGCTATCCTGTGTTTCAGGCAAAGGGTTTGGGAAGCGAAGCTTTGATCCTCCAACTCCCGCCAGGCCTGAGGCTCAGACGGCCCGCAGATTGAAGGTATGCCAGCTGTCCTCCAAGGGCCAGCCCGTTTTCTCTGTCCTCCGTCGCCTTTTGCGTGACGGCTAATGGAAGGACGGTTTCAGCTTGCATTTCAATTTCACAAACTGTAGATTATGCATCACCGCTTTCCATATTTGTCTAGCTCTCGAAGAACGAGGGCCTCAGCTGGCCCGGTTTTCGTTAGCAGCGAGAATCTCAAGCCTGGCCAGCCCGCATGCAACTGAATGCTGCATGTTAGGAGAGAGAGGTTAGATGAGAAGACAGCGCGTCTTCTGTTGAGGCTGCTGAACATGTTGCAGACCTGCTTGGTCATTGGCGGGACAGGCTTTGGCTGAAGATGCATGCAAGCTGACTCTGGAGGCAATGGACCGCGACGGAGCGACCGTCGCAGGTACGGCCCCAAGAACAACCAACCGGCACTCCCCGAGTATGATTTGGGCTCGAAAGAGTTTCGCAGGTGGATCTGGGGAATGGCACCATTGTTGAGAACTTTGAGGCACTTGCGAGTTGGGCTGTGCACTGTGCTGCTGAAAGTTTCGAAACGCTTTTGAGTTTGTTTGTTTCCAGGGACTGGAGCAGGGCTTGGCCACAGTCCGCCAAACAAGCAGCAGTCGAAGAAGCAGACTGGAGCCCCGGCACGAGAGAGTGTTGTGAGCTTGGGGCAGCTGCTGCAGGTCTGATTGTGCTCCACGCCATCTATCAGAATCTGCTCTCCTCTCAGGAGCTCAAGATTCCTGCGCCCATGCCGGGCTCCCTGTCATTGCCAGCAGATTTGGAGGAGGCGTGTGGGTTTTTTTGTTAACATTCTCGCACTCCTGGGCTTTGTCTCATTTGGTCGTCACATCATCTCTGGCGGCAAGGGCGAGGCCCTTGACATCATGTCGACCGGCAAAGCACTGACCGATCAGGCGGGCGATGATCGGCAATCCGCCCCCATTTGGGAAGCGTCTCACTCCGAGTGTGCGGCTTGCAGGAAATTTCAAAACTGGTTGGCGATGATGGACAATGCCCGATCTGCATGGACAGCATGGAGTTCGATCCTGAATTCTTCTTCACGAGCTACAAGCTGAAATAGAAGCTATTAAAAGCTCATCTACCCACGTTGAACTGTCTACGCGTGCATCTGAGCTGGGGCACAACTCTGCAGCCTTGCCAAGGCCCTCACAGCCCCAGGCAAGGTGTGCGTGTTATTTGTCACGCGAGGCGCTTTTGCTCTTCATTGGAATTCTCTTTTGAAGGTGCTACTTGATGAAGATGGTGATGTCGAGCTGCGCTTAGCAATTTGATGGCATGTCCGTGGCAGATATGGTCCAAAGTCGTGCAAAATCTAGAGCTTGATGAGGAGATGCAGGAAGAGGGATCTTCTCGGGCGACGAATGCACCGCTGGTCTCAGGACCCGCGCCGCAAAGGACATTTGATGCAGGTGCTGACACACACACACATGCAAACTTGCAGGAGTTTTCCGTCTCCGTTGTGGGCATGCTTACCACATGACCTGTTTGCGCACATGGTTTCAGCAGAAGACCAGATGCCCAAGCTGTCAGCAAGAGTTTGG